GCTAATTGCTAAAGTGGTGTTTCATATGGTGTATTGCGATTATTCATTCATATAGGTAGGCTCAGAACGAGCATTGCTAGAGCCGGAACGAATTATACATTCAGGCATTTTACGCACTTTATAAAGTTTTTAACACTCAAAAAACACAAACAAAAATTAAATTTAATTACAAAAATGACACTAGAAAGATAACCTATAAAATTGCACTCACAATAATATGACGGACCGATCCCACTTTGCGCTTACACATGTCGTATCCCTAGGTTGCCAGGTCAATGATCAGAATAGTGCACCGACAGAGACGCGACCAGCCAAAAAAATAGAGATTAACATGTATGAAAATAATAAAAATACCTACTAAAAAATTACTTCAACCGTATCAAAAACTATAACAAGTCAATAAAGATGACACTAGCATACTAGATTTTTTTATGGATTTATTTTTAGCTTGATATTTAAGAGGCTGATAAAATTGTAGCTCCTAAACGAAGCCGAAATTACGGTGCTTTTTATTTTAGTAATTTAAATATATAACTAGTTATGCTATCAAAAAATGAAAAAGGTAGTGACGTAGGTATTTTTCGTTAAAAAATTTAAAAAGCGCTCGTTGGCACGCGCGCCAATATAAACCTATTTATATATTTTAATTCCTTTTTTGGGTGTATTGTATAACTAAAATTTTATTCTATTTGTTAAAGCCTTATCGGAAATATTTTGAAAAACCTAAAAATTGAAAATGTGTACACCTTATGTTCTTGAAATAAATCATCTGCGGAGCCATGTTGATAGGAACTATTTGTTTTATTTTTGGGTAAGGAATCACACCAGCAGTGATGGCATATGCTTTGGAACACTGTTAAATATTGTTGTATTTTTGTTTTGTTTCCATGAAAATTGTAGTATATATTGATATGGCAAATGCTAATCAATATTACTGTCAATTTAATACTATAAAATATTTAAATACAGTAACTGTTAGTAGTAGTCGGTCTAATTCATAATTTCAAAGTAAATTTGGAGATGTTCAAAATTGACTATTCTTCTAGAGTCAATTTCGTAGGATTCAAGATGAAAAATTAAAAATCGGAAATAATTTTTCCTATCTGAATAGTTAAATATAACAAATCATTATATTAACAACATAATGATAGGAGGATAGTCCAGATAGACTCATATTGCAACAACGTGAATGTTTTGTAGTATAAAATTTAATTACAAATGAAACGCCACTGGAATGCAACATCCATTTGGAAACTTTTTTGTCTCTTAGTATTTGTTTGTAAAAAGTTTAGTTTAGACGATACAGCCATTTGAAATGACAACTTAAAAATTTTCAATGGAAATTCTACGTATGAAAAATATCAAAATCAAGTTTATTTTTAAATTACAAACTAATGTCATCAAAATAAAAAAAAATTATTTCACAGGTGTTCAAAATTACATTCTCCTCCTGTATACACTTACTACATAGTTTTAACAATGAAAATCGAATTTTGATATTTTTGCATACGTATAATTTACATTGAATATTTTTAAGATGTCATTTTAAGTGGCTGTATCGTCTAAACCAAACATTTTACAAACAAATACTAAGAGACAAAAAAGTTTCCGAATAGATGTTGCATTTCAGTAGCGTTCGATTTTTAATAAAATTTTATATTACAAAAAAGTTGAGTAGAGAAAGGGGCGGTGACACCCTCCAAAATCCTACAAAAATAGAAAAAAAATATTGCCTCTACCTCGATTTTGTTAGTCATGGTATTTCAACACGTCATATAAAATTTCATGAAAAAATGTCAAACGGTTTAAGAGCAACGTTAAAAAAATTCATTTAAAGTTTTATCTTATACACCCTGTAACTATTTTTGGGTACACTTTTGTATATAGGTAAGTACGGTTTATTCGACCTATTTTTGACCCAAGAATACGTGGTATAATTTATGACCAATATTTTTGAAACACCCTGTATATAGTTAGTTTTTTCTGAATTATTTGGAAATTTGTAAATAATGTTTATATAACCTTTTTTTTCAGTACGATTCTGTTCACCAACTTATGATATGTTATCCTCAAAACCTCTATGGTTATTCTATATAATTATTTGATTTTCACACGATCTAGGAGGGAATAATCTCGTTAAGTACAAAATAACGTTATGTCCTCAAGTTCTTTCAAAAATTTAGAAACAAACGCAATAAATACCGAAAAATAAAAAAAAATAAAAGTTGTAAGTAAATGCCACAAATGTCATTATCTGCTTTTGCGCCTCTACAAATTGGACAACCGAAGCACATAGACAGTCGAATTTATCGGGAGTTTTTAAAATTATTAATATGAATTTTTATTGTTTTACTTTCCTAACATAATTTTTACTTCATGAAATATATAGTCATATTGGTACTCGATGTATATATTATAACTTAAATAAAACAAGTTGTCTAGGCATTAAAAAACATAATAATTAAATAAGAGACTACTATTTAAAATAAAGTCGCGTATTCATAAAATTGATTAAACAAAAAAAGCAAATTTAAATATAACTATCACAGCTTCTATTCATACTCTATGTATAGTTTTCATACGTATTTATATTGATCTGTAATATAGTTTAACTGTCAAAGTTCACACGAAAATAATAAAATCGTTATCTGTGCATTTACGACTACTTTAATGATTAAATAAAGATATTGTAAAATATTATTCTGGAAAATTACGATCTACTAGAATTAATAAAATAGGGGTTATCGCTTATATACATTTTTTATATAACTACAAAGTAGACGTTGTAACTTTAGGGCAACTCGTCAAGGTTTTGAAAACCGATATAACGATTATTCAGAAAATAACATAAGGTTCTTCCTTATTTATCTAGATTTATGGCTTCCCCATTCGATTAGTTTTTTAGATAGTTTAAAAAATGTAATATTTTTCATTTGGAGGTAAAACTATTACCGATGGAAAGAGGATGGGGATGTAACCCGAACACTCTGCAATATAGAGATCAATCATTATGTACGGGGCTGTAGCCTGTAGTAACAGAACTAGTTTAGCTACTACGAACGCTAATATCTCAAAAAAACAAAGACTAGCATGCAATTTAGTGATATACGGATGGTTCCAAAACCACAGAAAGATCTGGAATAGTATTGTATGGGCCATAACTAGGTACTCTGAAAGGCTGGGCAAGCATCTGCCAGGCTGAAATTCCCGTAAATGAGAAGTGTCTCCAGTTCAACATCGAAAGAAACTATCGCAGACAAGAAGAGGTTAGCACGTTAGCATCATGTCCGATAGCCAAGCAGTCATCAAAGCGCTGAGCTCCTACTTAATCAGCTTAAAAATGGACTGGAAATGTCTAGAAAAACTGAATGAGCTAGGCGAGGAAAATATAGTTTCCCTTACTTGGATCCCGGGACATAACAGGGTAAAGGATAACGAGATTGCAGATAGTCTTGCAAGCAAAAGGACTCAAATACCCTTTGTGGACCCGCGTCGTTTTGCGGTATCAGCAGTAACACAATATTAGGGGAGATTCAAATGAATTGGGCAGTAGAAACGATACTTAGAACAATCTCAATCAATAACCAGAAAAAATCGAAAGCCTGTTTCTGTCTGAGCAAGAACAGGCTATACTCTTTGTAACATCTTAGTAAACTGAGAGTAGTAGAAGAAGATAGTGAGTGCAGATTCTGTGAGGAAGAGGACTAAACCTCCATTCATATTCTGACAATGTGTAGCACTTCAGAATCCATGGGCATTATGCTTAGGAGCATACAAAATAGAGGAGGTCAATCTACCCAACTTGAAGCCACTTCAAATTCTACATTTCTTGAGGAGATAAGATTGGAAGGGTCGTTACAGGCATCGAGACTATTTCCTTGTGGCATTAGCGACAGAAGGGGACACAATAACGGGGTTATGATGGACAAATAATATTATTTTTAACAGACACGTTATTTGTGAACAAGTTGTTATTTCTGTGTGTTTATAAAATAACAGACCTGTTAAAAATAACACAGGTTGTCAATCATAACCCCCTAAGTCGCAGTTTATTTATATCCCATACATAACATATGACAGATATGGTAATCGTTAATTGGTCAATAACCCATATGTTCACATCGTGAGTAAAATGTAAAATTTGTAAGTGATATTTTATTTAATTGGATTAGACTAGAGAGAGCTAATGCAATTTTTGTTCCGTTTTGTTTTTATAAAAAAATAAGGACCACTAATGTAAAACATAAGTAGGTACTAAGTACCGTTCTATGATGCCTTTAGGGAAAGTTTGTTACTGCCTGTCTTATGGGATTGTTTTAGAGCACAATGGATAAATAACTGGAGAAGGTATTTATAAAATAAAGGAAGATCATTAAATACTTGTTAGTAGGGTTGCCACATTATTAAAAAGTGAGAAAAGGACTACGAGGCTAACAGGGGCTCTGGTATACAAAGAGTCCTCATTTTTCTACTAAACTTCTAAAAAAAAAGTCGTCGACCTCAACAAAAAATTCTTCTCGCCTTCTCTACCGAGCTTCTAAAAAAAGGTCCTCAGCTTATATTTTTATACAAACCATGTCCCTTCCAAAAATATGTGCTGTAAAAAAGACATTTGTCGTAAACAGGACATTTTAAGCTTTAAAAAGTCACAAGGACATTTTGCTTCAAAAAAGGACTGTCCTGTTCAAGAAAGGACAGGTGGCAACCCTAACTTTTTAGTGTAGTGACTCACCAAATGTGTGAAAAGTATTCTAAAGAGGAATGCCGCATGAAAGTGGCATTTGATGATTCAAGATTACGTCATGTGTAGTGATGGTTCTCAGTTTTTATCTAGAAAATATTTTACACTCCACGAGTACCTAATGTATCAAATGCAAAAAGTCTAAAAAAGGGTATTTTTTTGGCAGATAAATTATCATTCAGTCACTTAAAATCAGTATATTGTTCAATATCAACCAGTCAAAAACTAAATTAAGAATATTCGTTTATTTTATATTTACCTCTGCTACATCGATTTCCAAAAAATCCTGTTCCCTCGCACCTGCACTTGTATCCAGGTTGTTGAGATATTTGGATGCATGTACCGTTATGCATACACGGGTTGTGGGGGTTTTTACAAATATCACGTTTTTTGCCTGTAGCAAACAAATATATAAAAAACCAAAGTAAAAACATTTTATTTAATGATAATCAAATTATTACTTAATGCAGAGCTGTCCAACTTCAAGTGGCCCAAGGGACAATTATAGATAAATAAACATTTGATCGTAACAATATAAACATTGAGAGCTGTCCAGCAAAAATCGAGATCTCCAATGTTCCAGTAACTTTGTTGTTGCCTTCTATTCATCGCCACCAGTAGAGTCACATAGTCTATGTATGTCGTGTTATTTTACTTCATTGTTGGTGTAGGAATGTCTCAATTGTGTATATTTTCGTTTTTTAGGCAAATAATGTTGCGAGCCTCATATGTTGGACAGCTCTGCCTAAAGGCATAAACTATTTTAGTTTGAACTGATTGTACCTTTAAAAAACATTACCCTACATGTTGGATTGACATGAAATTAAAGTATTAGGGCCAGTTTTTTCACCTCTGAGTAAAGTTGAAAGTAACTACTTGCTGATTAAACTATAAGGCTATTGTTTGTTAATCTGTCAAGTAAATCTACATGTAACTTTACTCAGAGGTGAAAAGATTGGCCCTTAGTCTATTTAGACGCCAAGTGCCGTGAATACTTATCGTGAATGACGATGATGACGACTCTAGGTAGGTATACTATACAGTGCGGCTTTTAGGCTTTTATTTTAATCCAGCCATTTTATAATAAAATCTGTCTCCTCTTTTTATTAAATAAGAGGGTTTGAAAAGCGGAATTCAAAAATGCACACTACCACCTATTTCACAAACGTTTTTAAACGCACGTGTAAGTTACCTACGGATAAATTTTATATAAATGTAATGCTAGCCGTTTTCGACCGGTTCTGCTCGATGTTGTTCACGTCGTCGCTCAAAGCAGCTATCCAATCGGCCCACATCAATGCCCACATGAAATCACTAGATGCTTGGTCTAGTCTAGGGTTTCTCAAACTATTTTGGGCAAGAGATCCCTTTTCCAAAATGAACTGACACCTCAGACCCCCATAGCCAAATTACTTTGAAAATCCTAACTCTAGTTTTTATCCTATTGATACAAAATACTTACCAATTTAAAAACTTGAGTAAACTTGACAACATTTTCTCATCAAAATTTAACAAAATAAATAGACATAAAATTCAGTAAATATCAAGTGTAATTAATAATACAAATTATGTAAAAATGCTTAAATAGGTAATTATTAAAAAAAAACATTAACATCGCAAAGTAAAGATAAAAAAATAAAAAATTCGGTGTGATGGATGAACCTGGTGACTTCCTATCAATCTAACTAAATCTGGTTCAATATTGGTGACTTGCAGGCTTAAATCTCCGCGTTCGTTGATTTTCAAACGGTTTCTATGTTTTGTCAAAATGTTTGTAACCACATTAAAGCCTTTTTCGACTAGCTATGATGATGGAAAAGAGATAAAGTATTTTTCAGCAATGTTTCACAATACAGGATACTGTGTTTCAATGTTGCGCTGCAACCAGAACTCCTGATGCCTTGGTTGAACTTCTGCTTAAGCTCCTCGTCTGTGCTGATGGTGATCAACTCTTATTTCATTATCACATTTATTATCCATTGAGGAATTTATAAATTTAAGAGCCCCTCAAACCTCTTAGTAAAATTCTAACAATTATACTTCCTACTAAAATATTATACATTCTAATAACAAGTTGATACACAACTCATACAGTACCTTGAAAGTTTCAAATAAGAACTTATGTTAATTAATAGGGGTCGATTTTTAGACCTCTTCGACCCCCACAATTAGTTTTCGTTTATGACGAACCTTGGGAAACCGATTTCGACTCCAAGGGGTTGGTATCGGCCACTTTGGGAATCCCTGGTCTAGTCAGTATAGTCGAATCTAGTGCTTCTAGATTAGCCTAGTGCCTTCGATAAAGGTCTGAATTTGCCTGGAGCGTAACATTTTTGTATATAAATAGATTATGTTGCCGTTACTTAGTTCCGCTTTTCAAGCCCTTTCCAACAAACTGTCACAAGACCTGTCTTGTTATTTAAAAACAATTGAACGGTTGGCTGTCACGAAGGGGAATGATGAAACGGGAGACACATTTTTATCGAAAAATGCTTCGATTAAAATCAAAATTGACAAGTTTGAGCAATAACCGGAGGAGGGAGTGAGACTTAATATCCGCACTGTATAAAAAATAGGTAAAATAGTTAATTCAAAAATAGATACCTTTCAAGGCATTCTGGCATTCCTGTATTGTGTCGTATCTATAATCTGAAATACAACCAATGCCACAAGAACACATTAGATTTCTTATTAAACATCCTTGTTTCGTTTGTCCTATTTCACAGCTCCTACTTATTACTATACCTGTAAAAAAAAATAATAACAGATTTTTATTTCCATTAGCCAAAATAACAATAAATTTTTCACAGTACCCCAGAGCAAAAATAAATTAATTAATCTAGGAAAAACGCCGAAGATCAGTCGGTAAATCAATAAATATCGAATCATATGTATCAATCCACATGAGAAAATGTAAGTGTGTGTTCGATTAAATAAGTTATCATCAGGATTTTACCAGCCGATAGTTTATCAAAGGTAATACGAGTCTTCCAAAAGATTATTTTTTCTAATCATTTGGAAGTATTTTTTAAACATATAAATATTTTTATTTTATAGTAATATAATTTCCTTTATGGTCTAAAAAAATATAAATACGGCAACATCGTATTCTGCAACAGACGGAATGGCCAGGCATTCATCAGGCATGTATATAGATTAATTATTTTCCTTTTACGATACGAGTTTGACGTTTGCCAAATTTGTATTCTGATTTTCCTGTCTTAAACTATAAAATGGAATAGGATCTATTTAATTTAGTAGGGTTGCCATATGGCCAATGTGTAAAAGTAGGACAAAAAAGCCTGACTATACAAGCATATAAAATTTCGAGCTAAAAGAAAGGCTAAAGCTAAACAAGGACAAAAGAGGAGGAGAATATTGCCAAACGTGGTATTGGTAATTTATGTTTGGCCGGTTGAATTTTGCACTTTTTAATATTATAAACAACATCGAAATTATATTTCACAATTTTTCCTAAATTGGAAAAAGCCGGACATAAAGAAAAGCCGGCTGGACATTAACAAATTGCCAAAAAAAGACGGCATGTCCGGCTTTAGACGGACATCTGGCAACCCTATGTTTAGGCATTCAAAAATGATGTTTAATTTACAAAAGTTGAGTTATTATTATTAAGAATAATTTTAAAATTTGGGTATTAACATAGATTTGAAATATATTTTACTTAAATAAAAGTTGCTAGATTTTCAGCTTAAACGAAGAGTCACAAAATTTTACTATTTTGACAGGTGAAAAAAATAATGAAAAATAAAGGTAGTTTATCCGATAAAACATGTTTCAATTTTGGTTCCTTAGTATACCAGGTGTTAGTCTTTTGTTTAATTTTTTATTTTAATAATAAAAATAAAAAGAGACCGATTTTAATGAGATTTTCACAGTTTGTTAACAACTTTATGAGGTATCTTTGGATCCAATAATTCCAGAGGAGTGTTCACAGCACACTTCGATTAATTTTTAGCACAAAAAATATCGCCCAGTAAGTATATTTTTTGAAGCTTTCATATATTTTTTTTAAATAAACTAACTAAAAATACAACTTTTTTGAGCCTTAGGTACTTTGTTTTCGAGAAAAAAATGAAAACTAACAATTTTGCACGTCTCTGAACACCTTAATTAACCTTGTATATCAAAAAGAAAGCGAAATTGGATCCTAGTTTATTGGACAAAGTACCTTTATTTTTCTATAAAATTATCAACTGGTGGAATCCTGACGATATAAACTAAACCCCACATATACTGTAAAGACACAGGCTGGTGCGAATAGCCTTTAAATGCTCAAACGAACTTTTTAACTAATCGGCCTGAGTTGCACTCAAGTTAAATTACAAAATAAGAGGTTTTTCAGCTATAGTTTATTTGAAAATGAACAATAGCAAAAATTTTATGACCCAGGAGATAAACCCCAATATAACAGCATAAATCAGTGACGGAGAATTTCTAAAATAAAATGTTTAGCATTATTTGTTCCAAAATAAAATATTTGGTTTTCTTCCTAAAATTTTTACAAATATCAATTTATTTAAATTCTTGTCTTACAGAAGTAAGGCGGCAAATATTGCCACACTAAATCTGATGTCGTCGGTCACGTCTACCGAAATGTGTTTCATATAATTACATGTGTTCAGACGCGAAGAGACCGTTTAGCAGTGTTACCAATATGAGGGTAAATGCTTACATTTGTAAGCATTTAAAACTTGTGGAGCAAAAGTGGGAGCATTGACCCAACTGTGAGGAATTTGTGAGGAATCAATGATCTTAAGTTAATTCTTTAAAATTACACTAGTGGAAAAAATGAAGGGATCAAAAAATCTCGATTTTTTGCGATTTTACTAGTGGCTGTATCTTTGGTAACAATGGTCGTACGTGAATGAAAAAAAAAGCCATTTGAAGCTTGAAGTGTCTAGTTTATGGATCTTATGATAAAAAAATAGAATATCGTGGATAGAAAAACGCGATCCTTCAATTTCTTCAAAAATTCACTCGCATGAAACAATAAAACGGCTTGATGGATCAGGTTGAACTTTCGGGGGAAAATAGCCTGTAAAATGCACATTCAATATTATTTATTTTCCCAATATTCTCAATGTGAAACGTGATTTTCTAAAAAACCTCAAAAAGACCCGTTTTCCGAAATTCTTCAAAGTCATGATAGGGATGAAAAAAATGTTTTCTCTTGAAAGAACATGCTAGAACCTTGTAGAGAATGAATCGAAGTTTCCGAAACCCCCCTTCCATTTTCTGAGCGTCCATTGGTTCCTGAGATATTGACGAGACAAGAGGAAATGACGCATTTTCGTTCATTTTCTGATAACTGACTTAAATTGTCTAATGTCTACAAATAAAAAAAATTCTTATTTTTGTGGATTTTAATCTAAATTGCGTTTCAAACCCTGTGTGAGGAATTTGTGAGGATTGTATTGCTGTTTTGAGAAAAATGGAGCATTTTAATTAGATTTGGGGATAATTTTGTTATTTGCGGTTGGCAACACTGCCGTTAAGGTCTCCCTTGCTCTCGCGGCTCGTTTTGAAGCCGGTCTCTGATGATAATAAGTTTATATGACGCAAGTACCCGAAACACAAACAAACAAACGAACGAACGAACGAACGAACGAACGAACGAACGAACGAACGAACGAACGAACGAACGAACAAACAAACAAACAAACAAACAAACAAACAAAAATTTATATGGAATCACTCCGTATTTCTAAAAACGAAATGATTGTTTCATGAAAAAAATTTTTTATTGCAAAGATTTTTTTAGAATATCATATAAATTTGGTTGTGTATATTTATTATTAAATTTTAACGAAATTTCCTAACCTAATTTCTAGTATACTAATTTAAAAAAAATAAATGTGGGTACTTAATATTGACAGTTTACTATTTTTTATATTAAATTAATTTTGTGTTTTTCGTAACTGAGATATAGAATTAATGGTTAATCCCTTAGGGTTTGCTCATTTACGTTTTATAATGTATTGTATTCGAGGTTTTTCGGGATGGTCATACTAAAATCTAGTGAAAATTCAGATAAGAAGGTATCAATATTTATTTTGTTTCTGCTTTGAACAATCCTGTATATAGACCTTTGCCATATGTGCTGTCATGCATTTTCAAATAAACTATAACAAGTGCTAGATATCATGATAAAGTAGTATCGAGAAATATGCGACAACTCCACCCACAATGCGCCGGAGTGGGAAACAACACACGAGGTTTCGAAGAAGAAGAATGGAGGGAAAAAGTGACCCTAAAGTGGAAATCCAAGATAACGAAAAACAAAGTTTGATCCATACGGGACTGTTATTTAACATTACCAATAAAAAAAATTTCGTATGACATTCAACTCTGATTTTTTAAAAACATAAAATAGCCTATATCAAAGTTGGTTACTGTCATTAATTTTATGTCAAAATCGCATTTAAATTTTTTTTTTTGAATGATATGTCAAAAAAATACTAAATTTGACAGATAATTAATGTAGTAACTAGCCAACTTTAATATAAGCTATTTTAAGTTTTTAAAAAATCAGAGTTGAATGTCCAACGACGTTTTTCTAATCGTAATGTTAGAAAAATTCCCATATGGATTCAACTTTATGGAACACACTGTATATAATTTTTGACGCAAAACAAAAATAGGATTTTTTATTTCTTTTAAAACATTTTTCATTTCCATGTTTTATAATGTTTGTACATTAAAAATTATTTTAAATATCATATATCGCTATAAAATAATACCTACATCTATCAGGTGACATTGTAAATCAACAGGAAATTGTAACGGTATTGAATTTCTGTAGTACGATGCTAAAATTATCTTATTAATGTTTGCTTATTATCCATGAACTAATGAACCGTGAAAGAAACGCAAGAATATACAGTATGTCTAGTTAAATCAGCACCATATGGGACTTTTTTTTATTATTAGTCTCATTCACAACAGTTATTCTTAGTAAAAAGTTTTGAATGCTCTAAAACATAAAATAAAACCATCAGATATAAAAAAATTATGAATTTTATGCAAGAGTAAAGTAGGTATCTTTATTTTTAACAATATCGAAAATTGTAAAACGAAAAGTTAATTAAAATTGAAAACTATGTTCGGATATCCAATATTAGGTATGCATTTACGTAAAAAAATAGTTCTATGATTTGCAAAATTAAATGTAATTCGTAATTATGCTAAAAAAGTATTAAATATTGCAGTGGCGGTTTGCCCGTAAGGGCACTTGGGCACGTGCCCTAGTATAATAAACCAAAAAAAAACATATTTTATATTTTCCTCAATGCCTATTATTATTTTATCTAATATTCAGCGCAAACCGAGTTGGCACGACACTGGACGACAGGGCGTTGAGCGATGTTCCGAGAATTCCGAAATTAAGTGGAAGAAAGGCACAGTAAATGTGTGCCTCTGTTGTTTTCTCATAGTGACGTGCTGTACCCATGGCACAGATTACCTAGACCAGATACGAATGTACGCAGCGGCATCTTTACTGGCTCCCTCACAAAGACGATGCCGGTTTCGGCTTAAGCTGCGCGTTTGTAGGACCATGATAATAATTTATTTATTGTGATTACGAAAAAACGTTAGTTGGACCATTGGAATAGTTAAGAAATAAAACTATAAAGAAAAATAACTTTTTTTTATAAAGCAGTCAATAATATGATGAAAAAAAAAAATCAATAATATTTATAAATGAGATAAAATTTTAATTTTTCTTCTGGTTTTGTCTGACTTTTTCGAGGATTTCAAATCTCTGTTTGCATATTTAAGAGTATAAAAAATTCCGAGTCTTATAAATAATTTAATGGTGTACATTTTCGCAAATTGTTGGCAAGGATGACCAAATCCTATTTTGCTCATCTCAAAAAGGTATGCGTTGGAAATTCCAGGCTTAGTTGACAAACTATCAAATAGAGATATAAATATTTTTCTAATTTAAAAATATAAAAGAGAAATTTTTCGCTGGGAGATTTTAAATTGCCAAACACCTTTTTTTCAGAGTCGTATGCTTTAAAATGCGTTAACAAGTTAGAATTGTTAAGTAAATTGCATTCTTCTGAGAAATTTACGCAAATTTCGCAAGAGTGGATATGTAATGATTTTTTGATTAAATAGCCACATACATAGTTAAATGCATTTCGAGTGGTCACATTTAGCTCCCTGTAGTCACATTCAGAAATCGTTATTGCCCCAACTGATTGTTTTGAAATCTATTTAATTTTCATTAAGCGGAGAACTTGTTTTCCTAAGGGAAAAACGAATCCCGGGATTCCTTTACAGTATATGCCCTACTGCCGCTAGTGCCCACGAGCCGCCACTAAAATATTGTTTTTTTACTACTAACATGAGAAATCACCATTATTTACTCCATTCCTCTAATGAGAAGTAATATTTCTCACCCTAGGTAAATAATGATAATAAAAAAAAACCTAGGTAAATAATGAATCTAAATTTCATTAGTTTCATTTTGTTAATTTGACAACTAAACTCCCAGACTACTTGATATTTTGAAATATTTGAAAAATAAGTAGGAAATAACTAAAGCTGGGTTTATCAAATCTAATCAAATCAAATATGATAATATATATCAGTGTAAACAGTAAAAATATATATTAACTAGGAAATTCAACACCGGCTTTAAAAATTATTAATTAATACCAATAAATCCATGTCATAAAAATATCAAAAATGCAATGGGATATTTCCTAGAATCATACCAAAATTTGACACAAATTTTTACATAAATAAAGCCAGTCTGATTAGAAACACGCTCCAGTCTGCTTGATATTTCGAAATATTTAACAAATTGTTAGGAAATTACTTATGTCAAAATTAAAATTGCTAATATATTAATGTTAGTAGTAAAAAAAATTCTATATATACCTCGGCTGAGAAAGCTATTATTTACCTCGCACATTATATCCCTCGGCGCTACGCGCCTCAGGATATAAAAGTGCTCGGTAAATAATAGCTCACTTCTCACCCTAGGTATATAATGTACTATTTTTCATGGTAGGTGTATAATATTGATTATTTAACACTATAATATATCAACTAATGACAATCCTCTTTTATTCAAATACAGGCCAATCGAAACAAATATAAAAAATAATCTTTACAAATACCATGCGAAGCGAGAATACTTTTAAGAAAATATTGTTTTTTCTTTTGAAAATAATGCGTCTAAATTTCAGGAATAAAAATCTTCCTTAAAATACCACAGTCATCAAGTAGTTCTCTAAAAATTCTCTTATATTGTGGTATAACCATTAAATATTGTAGTTTTCAATTTGGATCAAGTTTTCTTGATATTTTTTTTTCGATATTGTTAAAAATAAAGATACCTCGTACATAACTGAGAAAATTTAATATCGATGGTGGTATTTTAAGTATTAGACCATGCAGAACTTTTTATGAAGAATAACTTTTTGTATAAAACCTTAGAATCTAAGTATAAAACTAATAATAAAAAAGTTTCCCATGTGTTGCCGACTTAAGTAGATACACTGTATAAATTATATAATTTAAGAAGGAAACCAATAATTTTCGATTAAACAAATGCAAATTTGCACCACCAATCATCATCAACAAACTTCAAGATATAATAGAAGGCGTTAAACGCATAATATATAAAGCATATTTTCCATCAAAGGTATCTTTACCTTCTAACAGTGGCGTAGATAAAGAAGAAGTTCAATGCTTTAACCATTCAAATTTTTTTTTACTGAATTGACATGAGTTTCAAAAAGATTCGGTAAAATTTATTTTTCGAATAACATTTTATCAAATTTTTTTATGGATTAAAGACCGCTATGTACTGAGTAGCTATATAGGTACTATATAAAAAGTGTCAAACGAACAAGCTGATGCGTAATTTACCTTTACGAATTTAGCAAAAGATTTAATATCATGTTGATGCGGGATTTTGAGTGATTTGAAAATACTTTTGAGAAACTAAAGAGTTTTCCGGGTAAACTTATTGGCTATTAGCGAAAAGTGGAGGAACATTTCGAAGAGCATAAGACTTGAAGTGTAGACTGTAGACAAAGCTTTAACTGCATGAGTAGCGAATAGCTTTGCTTTGGTACTTATAAGAAAGATATTGTTGATATCACGGCTCCACAAACGAGTCAATCGTTTTCAATATTAAATATTTTATAAAGGACAAGAGTCAGAGGCATATATGATCTAAAGAGCATAAGAAGTTTTTTGGGTTTGAAGTAGCTGATTAAGAGTAATAGCCCAACTAAATTTGAGACTTGAGGTATTGTTTCAACTTTGTAGCAACAAAATATAGGTATTAAATGGTCTGATACGAAGCTTTTAACTTATTTATAGACTTTTTATGGTTATAGTTAGAATGAAGGAATTGATATTAACAGGGCCGGCAGCGTAAATAGAAAAGCTACTTCAATACGTCCCCCCAGACAGTGACCAACTAGACTAGGGTTTTTATGCTTTATTCGTGCAGAAAACCTACTTGAATATAGCCCCGGATGGTGCCGTATTGGAGTAGGATTTTCCGGTCTTTAGGCGGCGTAATATTCTGTAATTGCTACTTTAGTACGGCAAGTGTCCCCTTAGTGGTTATGATTGGTTATGTTTATAACGCGCAACGGCTCGGTATTCGATTGTACAGACCCCATTACAAATCATGTCATTTGTGTATCACACACAGCCGGTAGGACATCAAGCAAAATTAAAGTACAACCAACATCTATTTCACGTCGAAAAGCTACAGGTATTTCAGGAGGAAGAATTCAAGCTGGACGTCCTGGGAAATAGAACGCCAAGGCGTCAAAAAGCGACCCCATAATATAGCATTCAATATTGAGAATAATTTACGGTGTGCCAAAAAACATTAACGAACCATGCAAATAGTACCACACTTACAGGTAAGAACGTCGCCATTTGATTATCAATTATTACTGAATAAAACTTATATCATATCTACAGTATTTACCAAAGAATACCCACAACTACCTCACGCCGAAGAGCTAAAGATACCTATTTCAGTTAAGGTGCCAAAAAGCAACCACATAATATAGCCTTCAATATTAAAAATCATTTACAGTATGACAACAAATATTAATAAACTATGCAAATACAAATACAAGGGCTGTACTGAAGTAGTATTTCCACATGTTTAGGTAGCGTAATAACGCGCAATCCTACTCCAATACGGCACCATCCGATGATATATTCAAGTAGGTTTTCTGTACGATTAACCCATAAAAACCCTAGCCTAGTTGGTCATTGTCTGGGGACGTATTGAAGTAGGTTTTCTATTTACGCGGGCCGGCATCAGACATAGTCTATTTACCACAAAAAGTTTAAACTTGATAATTTTCATATATATTAGTTAAATATCTGTTTTAGTATTTTGAGTAAATTTATTAATAGCGTCAAAAATTATCTTATCTGATTGAACTAAAAGTGAAGAAATATTGAGTGGAAGTGGGAGGGAACAGTTTATTTAAATATATATATTTTTTAATATTTCAGTAGAAATTTTTAATGACAGAACCATCATTTTTGTTTTATTAATTTTTGAAGAATACGGATGGTATTGCAGACGGGCGTTGGTCAAAATTGTAATTTAGGGAAAACTCATATTTATTCGAATTATTGCTTTAAGGGATCCTACCTTTTATAAAAATGTTTTTTGTTCAATTTCGTAATTAAATGTCCGAACACCTTGAATATTTACAATTCCTTCTGAGTCTTTATTTATATTCCGATTTTTGTAAAATTTTCCGGAAATATCAATAATAACAAAACTTAAGGTGGAGAAACCTGGACTTTTTTGTAAACATCGAAAAGTATTTATTTTGAAAATTTTTAAAATAATTAAAAAAACATTTACTAGCCATTGGGGTCTATTCTGTAACAATTTTTACAGAATAGGCCCCATTCTGTATTAAATCTATAAAAATTTGCTTTTTATTTTAATAAATATCTAGTAGTTTTTAAATGGGAGCATTTCCCATCTTTCAAACAATTTGAAGGTCTTAATATTCTCGAGGCACATAATATCGCGAAGTATTCTCAGTGGCGCGCATATATAAACAATTTTATATTAGAAAATCCTTAAAATATTTTTGCTTTCGTGAGAGGTCCGGTATACTCTTAATTATAAAAATGCTAAATTATACAATAAACCTAAGAAATATGTACCTATAGGTTTAAAAAATGTCGCATAAAATATTAACTAAAAAATAATTTCAAATGCATGTAAAAAAAAAAATATTGGGATACTTACATATAAATAAAACCACAAACACTTTGACAAGCATGTCTGTTGAAAAGTCACTGGATACCGTTAAAATTTTCTTTAACAAAATCCCTTTCAGCGAAACCCATGTAAACCTATACAAACCACTGTCAATTACTGTTTAACGATAAAAGATGCGTTTTGTAGCTTGATAAGGAAGTCGTTGGCCTCTGTATCCCACTCTTAAATAAGGCAATCGAAGGACCAGAGTTGAAGTTTGATAAGGCAAATGAAACCATAAAATTATAGAAAATAATGTTTATATGCTGCTGATAATTGAGAACTATACCGACGCATAAAAAATTATTTCCTTTGTAGTTTGGGAGAAATATCGTATTTAATGCATTATGCATTTCTTAAAATAAATAATTGAATGTAAAATGAATCGTGGATTTAAGTAGGAAGCTATTTAATACGACAGAGAAATTATTTAGGGTGATTTAAAATTATATGATTTTTGAAAGATTTACACAGGGGTGTGGTGATTTCGAGCAAGATAAATTGGGCACCTAAAATTGTATTTTTTACTAATTAATGTGTCCATAGTTACTTGACTTAATTATTTCCATAGTATTTTGGTGCTACCTGAATATTTCATCAAATTGATATGGATAACTTATAATTTACTGTTAAAGAAATGTGAAAATTACCTGTAAAATTTTGTTTATAGGTAAATATTTACAAAATCGTTAGTAGGGGTTATTCTTTCAGCTGAAAACACACAGCAACAAAAGGGCAAAGCGGACTTCTCAAGAAAGTTCGATCACCAAAACGACAAGCATGCCATTCTCTAATGTTAGATGATTTTGCTATTCGTAAGTGATTTTCAGTTTTGTCGTAAGCTGTCATAATTATAATTCGTAAATGATGATTGGTCTTAATAATTAAGGTTAGGATTTGAATGTCATTTTGAGATTATTATAATTCATTAATCATTAAACACGGACGCGGTAATTTAAAAGCAAATGGATAGGGCCCAAAAGCAAAACTCTATTACAGTTCATCAAATTTCTAGAGGTGTTCGACGCCCAGACAGAGAACGCGCTACGTGTGACTAAGATAGCTATTGTACAGTCTGCTATACAAGTTATTTTAAATAGTTTTTAATATTTTTAGGTAATTAAATTTTAAAAGTGTGGAATAGTTTAGGGATTAAATTGGTCTGATTGGACTTTCTTAGAACGTTTTTAAAAGCAGCTAAAGATAGTATGTAGAATTGAAAATAATTATTATGCCATAAAAGGTGTTTTGGAATTCCTTCAACCTTTTGAAATTGAGTCAGAAAATATAAATTTTATAGGATAGCGGAAAATACCTATAATTTTTTTGTAGGCCTTTGTAAATCGTGGAAATAGTTTATATTTTATTTCTACCTTATTAAGGAAAATGGTACCTATTATTAATAACGGTTGTTTCTGAAACATTACTAAAATTTTCGAAATTTTGTTTTTCTACAAAATAATAAACTATACTATTTAGAAAAAAATTTATTTCTCTTATAATTTTATAAAAAATAACAGGGGAATATTTACACTTCTTGATCTATTAAACAAAACGATAAATTATCTCGACGAATGACACCATGTTCTAGTACGGAAGCTAGCTTTACATTTTTGTTGGTGGTTTCATGGGTTTCATATCAATTTTTTGTAATTGTAGTTTACACGTACATATACCTCTTAACACTTGTTTGCTTTATTAAAAAAGTGTGTTGTTGTGATTTACATCGAAATAAGTCAAAAACAACTTGAAACCCCATATAAAATCAAAAAGGAGAAACGGAAAAAAATTGAGCCTGTAAATGAACACAACTCAGAAACAAAAATAGCTATCTAATAATAAAAAAATAAAATTTGATTATTGTGCAGCTTCATCTATATCATTAACTGTTTTTGGTTTTTTAATGGTTTTTCTTGGTGATGAAAATTCCGATATCTCACGGTTATCGATTCTTTTTTTCTCTCCAGAAATGCGGACGACAGTGTTTTTAGATACTCCTGTGGCTGCAGCAACACGATCATTTACATTTTTAAATGGTATTGAAGGTGAATTAAAGTTTCCTTCTCTTCTCATAAACTCTATATAACATTGGCTATTATTTCGCGAGATTGACTTTTAATCACGCGGCCTCTTAATTTGCTATTAAACTCCATACTTAGGTTCTATTAAACTGCAATGAGCAAAAAACACAAACGAAAATAAAAGAAATGTTTTAGCGAAATTTACATCTGACATTTACGTCTGAATGAAATAGTGAAATACTTGATGCGCAGAGTGTACTTTCATTGCGTAAATCCGTCGGGATGCCTGTCAGTAGTGCTTTTTCTGTCTAGCCGTCGAAAGCCTCTAGAAATTTGATGAACTGTAGAATATATTGAGGCTAGGGTTGACACCTGTCCTTTTTTGAAGCAAAATGTCCTTGTGACTTTTTAATTCTTAAAATGTTCTTTTTACAGCAAATGTTCTCTTCTACAACACAAATGTATTTTTCTACCACGATACACAGACTAACGGTATGTTCCTGCGCATGCAGCTGACTGACGGTGGGACATAGAATTATAAGCATTAAATGGGAGATATATTGTTTAAAATTCGATATTTTGCCAATTTTAGATTTTATGCAGTTACTTAAGCTTTATTGGTTATTTTGTAATATATTCGTTTACAAATATGAAGGTTTAAAGTAAATAATACTAATAAAAATATTAATTTTTCTCATAAATTATAGGTATTTTGTGACAAAATCCATAACCTGGCCATAAGTAAAAAATATAGACTAAAAATACAAGTTGGACTCAAATTTGTACTTTCTGGGCATGGTAGATCTCTTGCAATCTCTTTTCTTATTATGTGAAATAAAAATAAGTGTGCAGAAACAAATTATTTATTTATAAAAGTACACAAAAAAATTAATTACTTTTTATTTGGTAAATTTAAACATTTTTTAGCAGATAAATCAGTAGTTTTCTGTCCCAATACAACAGTCCTTTTGAAGTAATGCCACGCATGAGTAAGGCACGAATATACAGGGTGTTTCCGAACTTGGCGTCCAAATTTGTAGGGGTGATAGTTCGCATAATTTGAGACCGATTCGCCGATTTCATTTTTCCAAAATATTTAAAATAAATATATTTAAAAATTTTAAACAGGTACGGTCCTGCACAGCGATGGGACACCTCGACTCGCGCGCGCTACGAACGAGTTCTCCGTAAGTTTGCTTAAAATCGACAAAATAATATTTGATAAATTACGAATATCTTTTTCAAATTTATTTAATGTTTATGTCTCTAAATGTTGAGTATCATGGATAAATTATAAAAGTAAACCGTGTTTTCCAAATTATAAAATAAAAAAACTTTCAATAAAAAAAATAATAGCTCACCTATTTTGACGTAGAAAATGGCTTGAATTTAATAGAAATTGTTCGAAATTATTGCCCCCACATTTTACACACAATCTTGCTCGACGTAACCACGATTCAGTGCATGTTGTTAACTAATAACTTAAAACAACACTACTAAGACCTAACTAAACTCAAAAGAACACTAAGAAAACGCAAAGAAATTGCTAAAAATAAGTAGGTATAAATAAAATTCTCTGAACGCGAGGTAAACAACCCTACAAAGCAATACGCACTAGAAAAACAATCGGCTACGTCTTTCGATACCGGCCGGAGGGAGAAATTTGCAAATCGCATCTGTTTTTGAGTTGTAAATCCCGATGAGTAACCGATCAGGCGACTATTGCGCTACGCGCTCAGGGTAAGACCCGCTTTTTGATTTTTAACACGCTTATATTAGCTTCACCTGTATGTATGTATGTATGTTTGTAACTCTCCTTTGGACTAAAGTGACTTATTACTGTCAGTATATCCAACTAACTCAAGTTCGTTCGTGGCCTAGCGGTCTAAGGCGCGGGTTTTCGATTGCCAGACTCACCGATCGTGGGTTCTAATCCCCACGGCTGAAAAAAAAATTTTTTTTTCTGCAATTTTAACTAAAAAGTAAAAAATAAATATAGTTTAAAAAAACAAAAAAACACGCTTTTAGAGCATATCAAACTAAAAAGTTAAAAATAATTTTTTTAACACGCTTTTATTCAAATAAGCTTAAAACAATAATAAATGGAAAATACTAGTATTATTGTGAAAAAAGCGTGGGGCACTTTGTCCATATTTCTCATACATCGAGCGCCCGACGCTTTTTTACAATAATACTAGTATTTTCCATTTTTATTGTTTTAAGCTTATTTGAATAAAAGCGTGTTAAAAAAATTATTTTTAACTTTTTAGTTTGATATGCTCTAAAAGCGTGTTTTTTTAAACTATATTTATTTTTTTATAATGGCTCTATTTTGTTTATTATAATTTTTTTAGAAAAATGAAATCTGCCAATCGCTCTCAAATTATGCGAACTACCATCCCTACAAATTTGGACGCCAAGTTCGAAAACACCCTGTATATTTGTGCCTTACTCATGCGTGGCATTACTTCAAAAGGACTGTTGTATCCGGACAAAAAACTACTGATTTATGTGCTAAAATTTTAAAATACCGATTTATTTTCTTTGCTTAATGAGGCCCGTGCACCTGGTGAAATTCAATTTCCTTTTCTTGCGTCTATGTTTAAGAGGAATCTCACAACTACTTTCCTCAAAGTGGATAGGGCAACTTCAATTAAGTCTATTCTTTCTTCGATAAGAATTTACCCATATGTTGTGGCATTCGAAAATATCTTCACCGCGCAGCCTGACGTTTTAAGCATTAATTTAGTTTTTCTCCGCTATATATAGGAAAATATAGTCACTACAACACAAATACAAATAAATTATTTTAAACTATTCAACCGAAAAGTGTCAAAATACCTTGAAAGTTCATCCCGCATTATGTCATTGTGCGGTTTAGACGAAATTTGAATCAAGTCAGCATACCGTTAGTATGTGTATCGTGTTTTTCTACGACCATCGAGATAATGTCTTCGACAAATGTCTTTTTTAACTGACATCACATATTTTTGCTTAAGTAAACCTAGTCTAAGTATTTTTGGAAGGGACATGACATGGTTACATGGTATTACATGGATTGTACAAAAATATATAAGCTGAGGATCCTTTTTTTTAGAAGCTCGGTATGACGAAGGAGGTTCTTTCGTTCAGCTCGACGACCATTTATTTTAGAAGTTCACTAGAAGGATGAGGATTTTTTGCTTGTTGTATACC